CAACAAATTCAGAACAAAATGTCAGCATAAACACATGCACATAAGTTAGGGCTGCAATTCCAAAGAATACACGAACAAACAATTATCAAGTTCAATCGATCATTCACCTCCTCTATTATTCTATACACGACATGCTAAAAAATTATCAGACATTCGTTAAGAAGACAGTTCCTGAAAAGTCAATCGGAGCTGGAAAACACACGAATTTTCAACAGTACGAAGTTTTTATAAATATGCAAAAGCTGGTCAATATTTCAGTTTTTGTAAATGAAAGCTAGAATCCTAGAAAATGCATAATCAAATCTCAATCTCAGAATTAATCTAAAGCTATGTACAAATATATTATGAATCCTATTCAACATTCGCAATCTGTATATATCATTCAAGAATTGATCTGGAACTTTCAAAAGAATATCAAACCGAAGCTGAAATCCTAGAAAAGAATATACGTACACATGCAAATAAATGAAAATTGGACTTTCATAGAACACCTGACACACACCTAACCTGCACTAATCCATTCTCGATAAGAAAACCTTCATAAGTTTATTCAAAAGTCGGTTTCCATATACATTGTGCAAAATTAAGTAACTATAAAATTTAAAATCTTCAAATCGAAGCTGGAATTCTGGGAGATACACACATCCAGATCTCAGGTATCAATACGTTATGAAATTCATTCAATATCCGTACTCTGTATACACTACACAGAAACTTAATCTGAAATTCTCAAAAATACATACATGAAAGCCGTAATTGCAGAAAAATAGACAGATATAGAAATCGAAACTTAAAATTCAGTGAAACATGAAGAACTACACAGAAAAACAGAGTTTTAACTGAAGATAATGAAACTAATCGCCTGAATATGGATTTTTGTGATGAACATGGACAATTACAGAAAGGAGCCGAGTTCTAGTTGACGACAATGAAGATAACCACATGAATTTAGATATTTGTGATGAGCATGAAGAATTAATGAGAGAAACAGAATTTTAATTGAAGATAATGAAACTACACACCTGAATTGAGATTTTTGTGACGAACGTGAAGAAATACATATACATACACAATTTCGGTTGAAATTAACGAAACTTAACCTGAATATAGACTTTTGGAATGAAATTCAGGTACATAATGTTATTAAATTCGTTCAATATTCATATTCTGTATGCATTATACATAGCTTAACCAGAAATTTAGATCATTCGACACAAAACGGAGAATCTAAAACCATCACGGAGATGTAGGAATCGAAACTCATAATTTAGTTGAGCACGAAGAATTACAGAGAGAAACATAGCTTCGTTTGAAGATAACGAAAATGATTACCTGACGATTTTGGTTTTGTTGATGATGAATCTTCTTCGGCGACGATCTGCTGCAACGATAAACACGAGATTACAGAGAGAAAAACGGGTGTTAGATTTGGTGGTAAATGAGATTTCTCATCAACTCCCTCATGATTTGCGGGCGGGAAGAGGAGGATGCAAAGTCTGTTTGCGTGAGGACACGTGTCCTTACAATACAGGTTGAGGAGAGCTGTCGTCACTGTCCGAAGTAATATGGTTAAGATATGCAAATGCTACAAAATAAAACTCATAAATCCAGATAAATGTACAAACTTGGATTCAGAACTTACAAATTGTTGTGAAAATGTTGTTTTTAATACAAAAAGTGTGAAGTTAGAGAAAATTTGTATCACCGAACTAGCGACAAAATATTTATTTAGTCCAAAATCTATTAATTGTATTTAGTAAACCATTTTATTATCTAATTTCGTGTCAATTTTAACAATATGAAGCAAAGAAAATGGATAAAGTGCTATTTCTAATCTAATCTTAGAAGACATCCTATATAACAATATTATTTACACGTAACAAAAATAAAAATACAACTCTATTGACTGCAATATTTTGGGGGGGATAATTAACAAAATGGCTAATAGGTATAAAAAAATAACCCAGTTTTCCTGAAAAAACAACATGGACCATCTATTTCAAAAAATAAATAAATAAATAATAAAAATAAAAATAAATAAAAATCCAATATTCAAGGCATGGAATTAGTGTTGGGGTCTTTCCTCAAAATTCAATTTAGAACTCTCAAGGAGTATACCACTTCGAAAATTCGACATCGAAAATTTTAGAAGTGGGTAATTGTAACATCATCATACCAAGCCTAGAAGCTTTGAGCTATTTAGTAAAAAAAAACGAAATAAAATAAATATTAAAAAAATGAAACGATTGCATATTATTAAGGTTAAAGTATCTAAGATGTTTAGAAGATCAAACTTTAGGTTTAAAAGAAATTTGACTTAAAAGGATGGTCAAACTTGTCAAGTTTGATAATCTTAAGTGTGACCTTAATATTATTAATTATTGGGATATAATTTGTTAATAAAACCATATTTAAAAGTCTAATTCTAAATCTTTAGATTAAGGTCTTGTTTGATATACGTCTGACCAAGTTGAGTCAAACATTTTTTGCTGACTCAGTCAGACAAACTTGTTTGTTAAGCAGATTTATTGATGTTTGACTCGGAAAGATATATCTGAATGAAGAAGATATGAGATATATCATGACTAAGAAAGATTCCAAACATGCCCTTGCCCTACGTTCAAGTTTCAACGCCTCCATCTCATTTTTTTTCTCTTTCAACTATTGACGATTTGAGACTCACCCACCACCGATCGACGTTGCACCTCTACCAATTGAAGATCTCTTCTAATCAGGTATGATTTCTATCTTCTTAGTTTAGTTTTTCATGTATATATCCGATTTTTCCTATTGTTCATTTTGATTTCGTGTTGTTTCTCTTTCAATTTGTTGTTAATTCCAATTTCTTGCTTTTGCCTGCCCTTGCCCTGTGATTTGCTATCCAATTTGATTTTTCTGCTTGAGAAGTTATAAATATGATGCAGATTGTTAACTCTAATGTTGTATTGTGTTTTTTTTCTCTTTTCACATTAAGATTCTTAAATTTGATGCAAATTTTTTTTACGTAGAAATCTAGTGCAAAATTTTTGTTTGAAAGATAAATATGGTGCAAAATTTGCAATCTGATATTTGCTAAGCTAATTGATTTGTTATCTTGCTTATTGACTTTTTTGATTTGCTAGTTAGTTGATTGATTTGCTAGTCATGCTTTAATTTGTTGGATTCAAACTTAGAAAATCATAGCTTTTGCAAAGATGTTTTTGCTGTTGAATTCATAGATACATATCTGTTAAATGTTCATTTTTGCTGATTTTTGTTGTTGAATGTTGATTTTGAAGTTCACTTTTTATGGAATGGTTTCTATTTGATGTTAAGATCTTTTATGTCCATAAACAAACGGTTTCTGATTGATGTTAGAATACATATTTTTTTTTTCTGTTGAATATTGATTTTGCTCATAAACAAATGATTGCTTGATTTTGCTCATAAACAAATGATTGTTTTATGATTGATGTTAAGATCTTCTATGTCCTTTTGAATTTAGTTGATTTTTGATAGCTGATATGGAGATAAGGGCGGAATGGTGTAGGTAAGGGGTTTTATGAATAGATGGGGTTACGAAAGAGGTTCAAGATGGGTGCTAATAGAGGTTAAAGTACGGTGAAGAAGATGATGATGCAGTGATAGTGGTGTGAAGAAGATGAGGGTAAAATGGTTATTTTTCATAAGTCAGCACATTCAGCCAGATGTACAATCAAACAACCTTGTTTCTTACTCAATCAGGATTTCTTACCCAGACAGGCCTTTCCAGTCAGCACTTTCTCAGCCAGCAACTAGATATCATTTGTAAAACTTTAAGTATGAGGGACCAAATTTGATAAAAACGTTAAACGTAGGATTGACCTTGTTTGATTTAGTTGGAACTATAAATGTTAATGAAGGTTATTTTTATAAGTCATAAATTTATAATATAAACTAGATGAGAAGCCCATGCTTCGTATGGGTCAAAAGTTTCGTTGTTTTATAATGTTCAAAATTACGAAGGAAGTCACACATAGAAGTTGGTTGTTGCTTACATCATATTAAAAGTTAATACAATATACATGGGACAAAGACATTGATAACATGATGCAATTTCTAAGACTTAATGATTCTAAAAACTACGAAATTTATAATACCAAGTTTTTGTGCGACAACAAGCAAACAAATTACCAAAACTACCCTTTTGCATAAAGGGTTTACTATTGCTATCAAAATTACCACTTTCTATTTTCAACAATTCTATGTGAATTCTAAATACCCTAAGACTCATTCAACAACTTCATGATGCACATTTTTTAAATTAAAATACATTAATGAAAAAAAAAAAAAAAACAAAAAAATACATACGATTTTTCATGATGATTTCTCATCTTGTCTTTGCAATGGTCAACCCGATTTTAGTGGGGCATGATTTTAATGTTTTTTACCTGAGCATCCATTTATGGTCAAGCTTTGGTGCCAGACTCCTTAGAAACAAAATGCACAAATTGATATCCTTTTCATTTCCAACTCTTGTCATCACATATAACCTTAACTACAATGCAATTGACCATGGAGGGTAGGTTTTTTATGAGAAGCTCAACGCCAGTTCATAAGATCAAGTCAAAATCCAATATAATGAACGTATTTTAGCGTGCTAATGAAAAAGAACTAATAAAATTTAATTCCCTTCGCCCTCCCTTAAGAATATTCAACCTATCAAACACGGAGTCAACAAATTCTTATGGAAATGAATTCCAAAACACACAATGGAATGGAATCTGAAATTCCAATTCCATCGGAATCTAAAAGGCTTTAAGGTAACAGTTTTTTAAGGTAACAGTTTTTTGCAAATTCACAACCTCTACAAAACATCATCTATCTCTCAAATAAAATGGAAATGGTGTAATTTATAAAAAAAAAAAAAAAAATGTGACTTTTTATAGATTTTGTTATGCGTAAATGATTCAGAGAAAGAAACATAAACTACTTCTGCTGACATCAAGTATTAGGATCCGCTTATCTCAGTTGAACTCACCTCATATCAATTGAGCCGTCAACATAACATATCCCCAGTCTTGTAAATGACCACATACACCTAAAAGTCGAAACAATAATAATAAATTAATAAGCACAACTAATTTCAATAATCAAGACCCACCTAATTACTTAACTTTTATAACACCACATCCTTCACCTTTTAGGATTTTATTCATTTGGTGATACATGGAAGGTAGGATAAACCCAGAAGACAACATGAAAATATTGACAACTACAACTAAAAGTAGACAACATTCTAGGAATCCCAAAAGAGTAAACCGCTTCCATTATATGTCAGAACATCAGGGATAAATGAAGTTATAAAAAAATCCAGTCTGTCCAGATCTTGTCTTCACTGTGAACAGGGGCAAAATGGTCCAACTGTTATGCAATACGGGTATTGGATTAAAAAAAAAAATACCATTCATTGTGTTTTTAATTATTGCACTGACTGTGAATAGGGACGAAATAGATAACATTCATATGCAATAGCTTATGCATTTGAATACCATATTCTAAAATATGTGCCCTATGTAGCAATTGAAACATTTTACTAACTTATACCACTGAATTTCTATTTTTTCATAATACTTTGGAATCTTTTATTTGATAAAAAAACAAATAGGAGGTAGCATCTAAATCTTGTCACACATAATGACGAAAGTAAGCCATATTAGCTATCAGGAATGATATGCTTACCTAAAAGAAGACAAAATATAAGCAGTAGTTGCCCCACACATGAGTAGAGTATAAGCATATTGGAAGATTCGAAACAGACCATGATAATGATGAAAGTGTTTGCCATAGTGGTCGCTTGTTTACAAATGTCCATGCAAAAAAATGCATCATTATCTGAGAACTCTTGATCCTAAAAACAATGAAAAGAAAAGATAAAACTTCAAGGGCAGATTAGTTATCATATTTATGTTGGATTAAATGCAAGAAATAACAATGTGCTTTTTACTTGAAGCATCTTACTTCAGTGTCGGGCAATTTCTCTTCTGGTCCAGGGGCAACCCAAACTGAAAATGAACTGTCAAATCTCATTGAATCCGTCACTAAAAATTAGAATGATAAAATTGTAATTAATGTCAAAAAATACATATTTCAATAGTGGTATAGACCTTAACTTGCTTGTGGTTATGGAGTTGAATATCCACCACCTGTTTAAGGTAAAAAATGATTATAGGCAGGCTCTTCCCAACTTAATATTTCTAACACATATAAGAAATAAGTATTGCCCCATGTTGGAAGTAAAACTCTTCCACTTAAACTTTTCATTCATAATCCAAATTCAAAATAATTAAAATAAAGGAGTCGGGTTTAATTTTCTTACATGAAAATAGGTGAATATGAGATTGGATCTTGTTGATGTTGTCATCTGCCAAAGACGTTTACACCCGCATCAAACAATCAAAAATATTAGATAAGGAAAATGGTGAAATTATAGGGGACAAAAAATGCTTTATAAAACCAAAATTAGTAATTAGTATGACTGACCAGATCTTTAATTGGCACCTATCTTCCTGCAAGACCCGTTTAGTCCATGCCAGCTTTCATGCACAATCTTCCCTATCTGAATCAAACTTACCTTGTATAAACCCCTCACCTCCATACTCCCCAACAATATCAACACCAACGTGCATAAAGTATTTATTGCAAGGAACAATGTTGTAGGCCTTTCTCATCTTCCAGACTGTGTACAGACATATAAGATTGTAAATTGACTTTATGGACTAATAATAAGCATACACAAATTTGTTATTTTGTTTAATAAGCTTTACCGAAAACCTCAATAAACCTCAAAATAATAAACTTAGTTATTTATATTAAGGGAAAAATAATAATTTATTATATAAATATGCATTTCACTTTAAGATTTAAGTAAAAACAATAAATAAAATGTAAATCTTCAATTTCATTAAGGAAAAAGGTAACCAATTTTAAGGGAGATGAATTCGAAAAGCTAAGAAATGTGCAACTTTGTCACCACTATAGACTACGATATTCCTAAAATAATATTAAATGATTTAACCATATAATAGAAATTAATAAAAGAAACTCAATATCATCAGTATAAAAGCACTTACATCTTGGATCTCTTGCCATGTCGACATGTCCGGTGACCGGAGCTCAAATACATCCGGTTACGTAGTCAAACACACCCACCAACCACCACCAATCTTTCAGGTGAAAACCGAGAGCTGTAAGTTACAGTAGTGGTGGTGGAGGACAAATAGAGTAGATGAAATGGTTGACATCAAACCTTAGTTTCCACTGTTGACAAACAAATGGTAGAGATAAAAGCGGTATCCCCTGCTATTTCATACACAGAAATAGTGCAAGACAAATTAAAGGGATGTTAAAAAGCAAACTCTAATCAATGTGAGACATATTCTAAAATAGAAATAATTGCATTTATTATGAGATGGGTATGCCGATTAGAACATAGGAATAGCAACAAAGAAAGACCAATGAAGGTCGATATTTACAGACAAGCTTCTGGTATGCCAATTACAGGAAGAGCACATATTTTATGAAGTGCATCAACAAATACCGAATGCATAATTTTCTTTATATACGGGGCAAGCATTATTTTTATTCAAAAATAAACTGTTAGCAACATAAAATTGGACAAAATATCCATGAACAGTAAAAGAAGATGTTGCAGAAAAACTGATGTAGAAGAAAAATAACTATGTTCCTGCTATCTCCAGCCATAATTCGGCGACCTCAATTGCCTCGGATCGGTATCTACAACTCACAAAACAGAAATCGAAAATCATTTGCAAAAAACGAAAAAAAAAATCACATAAAGGGAAAAAATTGGATACTAATTAAGCCCAAATTGGAAGAATGATGTTGGCTTTAGAGAAAATTGAGAAGGTAAGGGAAAAAATAGACCTTCCATAGCCGACGACTGTTCCTCCCCAAGACATGGCCATTTTTTTAGCTTATATCGACTCTAGCAGGAGTGATGGTTTACTTACGGCGGCAAACTTCCCAGACATAGTTTCTTTCCTCAACACTCACAGACCTAAACATATGTGACGTAGAAGATATAAAAGACGACAAAAAAGAATGTTGACATCTCATGCCGTAAATCGAAAAACCTGAAGTCTTTTGGTAGCATAAGTAATCGATTCCTGAACTCGGATGTGAGCTGCGTTATGTGTGGTTGAAATATCTTAGCGTCCATCCTTTTATGTGTTGCTCAATGATGGAATTGAAGCCTTTGTGTAGAGAGAAAAAAGTTGAAATAGATAAGAGAAAGGAGAAGAAAAGCCGATGGTTAAAACCAACCCTAACTAAGAGGAAGAAAGAAAAAAAGACGTAAGAAATACCTGGAGTTTATCCTTGGAGCAGAGATAATGAAATCTGTGGAAGGATCAGGAAGTAAATACCCTAACCACTGTGGTCGCCCGAGGAACAGTACCCTGGTCAGGTACTGTTGCTAACTTTCATTCCCTTAATATATATATATATATATATATATATATATATATATATATATATATATATATATATATATATATATATATATACTAGCAGCGTACCCGCGCAAACCGGCGGGGTGTGTAAATTCTTTCGGTGATATGTTTCCTCTACAAAAATGTTATGTTACAAAAGAAAGTACATGTCGAAAACAAAATAATCAAACTATGGTGTTATTTGGGAGATGAAGTCATTTTTTGTTCCTAGACGGTGGGCTTTATAGTAGATGAGGGAACAAAGAGGTATATGCGATTGGAGGGATATTTGAATCAACATGCTAAATTTAAGGATATCTAAAAGTGTTCAAAATTTGAATGAATCCGGGATTTGAGGGAACAATATCAAATTGTTGAGAAATATAAGGAGATTTGATGATAAATATTTGAATTCAAAATGTGGTTAAGATTTAATATTATTTTATTAATGTTTACTTGTACTATCAGCTTCATTATTTGGACGTCTTAAAAAAATATTATTATTATAATCAATCTATTTTTAAAAATAGTTAGATTTCTTTTATAAGATAGTAAAGATATATATATATATATATATATATATATATATATATATATATATATATATATATATACACTAGCAGCGTACCCGCGCAAAGCGGCGGGGTGTGTAAATTTTTTCGGTGATATGTTTCCTCTACAAAAATGTTATGTTACAAAAGAAAGTACATGTCGAAGACAAAATAATCAAACTATGATGTTATTTGGGAGATGAAGTCATTTTTTATTCCTAGACGGTGGGCTTTATAGCAGACGAGGGAACAAAGAGGTATCTGCGATTGGAGGGATATTTAAATTAACATGCTAAATTTAAGGATATCGAAAAGGGTTCAAAATTTGAATGAATCCGGGATTTGAGGGAACCATATCAAATTGCTGAGAAATATAAGGAGATTTGATGATAAATATTTGAATTCAAAATATGGTTAAAATTTAATATTATTTTATTAATGGCTAGTTGTACTATCAGCTTCATCATTTGGACGTCTTAAAAAAATATTATTATTATAATCAATCTATTTTTAGAAATAGTTAGATTTCTTTTATAAGATACTAAAGATATATATATATATATATATATATATATATATATATATATATATATATAGGGTTAGGTTCATTTGAGACCACCTATATTTTGTGAAACCGTGAGACGCATTTATTTATTTATTTTTATTTTTTTTAATTTTTTTTTAATTTTTTTTTAGTTAATTCATGTTCCGAAAATAATATTTAAAAAAAGAATTTTTTGATTTTTCCATTTATTTTGCATTTTAAAATTATTTTTAGAATATGTACAGTGTAATATTCTATTTAGAATATTTCACGTACTTTTCAAAAAAAAATAGAATTTTTTTATTTATTTTTATTTTTTTAGTTAATTCAAGTTCCGAAAATAATATTTAAAAAAAGAATTTTTAGATTTTTCCATTTATTTTGCATTTTAAAATCATTTTTTAGAATATGTCAGTGTAATATTCTATTTAGAATATTTCACGTATTTTTCAAAAAAAAAAAAAACGGAATTTTTTTTTTATTTTTTTTTTATTTTTTTTAGTTAATTCAAGTTCCGAAAATAATATTTAAAAAAATAATTTTTGGATTTTTCCATTTATTTCGCATTTTAAAATTATTTTTAGATTTGGTCTAACGGTCTCACAAAATTATAATGGTCTCAAATGAACATGAACATATATATATATATATATATATATATATATATATATATATATATATATATATATATATATATATATATAGGGTTAGGTTTATTTGAGACCACCTATATTTTGTGAGACCGTGAGACGCATTTTTTTTATTTTTTTTTTATTTTTTTTAGTTAATTCATGTTCCGAAAATAATATTTAAAAAAAGAATTTTTTGATTTTTCCATTTATTTTGCATTTTAAAATTATTTTTAGAATATGTACAGTGTAATATTCTATTTAGAATATTTCACGTATTTTTCAAAAAAAATAGAATTTTTTTTATTTCTTTTTTATTTTTTTTAGTTAATTCAAGTTCCGAAAATAATATTTAAAAAAAGAATTTTTTAGATTTTTCCATTTATTTTGCATTTTAAAATTATTTTTTAGAATATTTCAGTGTAATATTCTATTTAGAATATTTCACGTATTTTTAAAAAAAAAACGGAATTTTTTTTTATTTTTTTTATATATTTTTTTAGTTAATTCAAGTTCCGAAAATAATATTTAAAAAAAGAATTTTTGGATTTTTCCATTTATTTTGCATTTTAAAATTATTTTTAGACCATTCTAATTTTGAGACCATTCTAATTTTGTGAGACCGTGAGATCAAATCTAAAAATAATTTTAAAATGCAAAATAAATGGAAAAATCCAAAAATTCTTTTTTTAAATATTATTTTCGGAACTTGAATTAACTAAAAAAAATATTAAAAAATATAAAAAAAAATAAATAAAAAAAATTCCGTTTTTTTTTTGAAAAATACGTGAAATATTCTAAATATAATATTACACTGACATATTCTAAAAAATAATTTTAAAATGCAAAATAAATGGAAAAATCTAAAAATTCTTTTTTTAAATATTATTTTCGGAACTTGAATTAAATAAAAAAATAAAAAAAAATTCTATTTTTTTTGAAAAATACGTGAAATATTCTAAATAGAATATTACACTGTACATATTCTAAAAATAATTTTAAAATGCAAAATAAATGGAAAAATCAAAAAATTCTTTTTTTAAATATTATTTTCGGAACATGAATTAACTTAAAAAAATAAAAAAATTAAAAAAAATTAAAAAAAATTAAAAAAAAATTAAAAAAATTCGTCTCACGGTCTCACAAAATATAGGTGGTCTCAAATGAACCTAACCCTATATATATATATATATATATATATATATATATATATATATATATATATATATATATATTAATAATATGACTTATTTTGTAGGTTAGTTGGTGAATTTTAAAGAATATTTGGAAATCATAGGGTGTAAATGGTAAATTTCTTCATAACTAGACATAATCTTCATCTTCTTCCCCATTTGAAGGACGAGAAACGATTTTAAGAGAGGGAAAGATGAAGATGACGAACTCAAGGCAAGAAATTAGATCTAGAAGTTCACATTAAACAAAGAGGCTAAGAATTAAGTAGAAGCTTGTGTAAGGTATAAACTTTGTTCATCTTCACAAATTATTTTCGATCTATGGTTTGTGGAGAAACCCTCAAATCTGAAAATAACTTCATTACATTCGTTTTAGTGATGATTCTAGTGAGCTTTAGTTAGTAATCAATTATCTACTCTTACTCTACTCATTCATGGTTTAATATTTGAGATATAATCATTTTGAAGGCTTTAAGAGCTCGTTAATGATGGTTTTCAAATATTAGCTTAAATGTATGGATTCAACGAAGATTTGAAGCTTAAATTATGCTGTGAAAACAACTTTAAGATAAGGATCTCATTCATTGGGTGTAGGATGCAATTATGAACTTGTTGAGAATTTTCACTTTGACTTGATGTATTTATGATGATTTGAGTTTCACATTGGTTCGATCTAGCATTGAGAGTTAAACGTTTATGGAAGCATTATAAGGAATGATTCATCAAGTCAAAGTGAAGATCAAGTAGTGATGATTTAAGTTTCACAATTTATGAGAAGAAATGGAAGCTTATATGATTTCATTTGAAACTAAATAGATTATGATTACAAAGCATGTTGAATAATCACATTTGAACCTCAAATCCATGTAATAGATGTGGATTGATGTTTAAGTAAAGCTTGAGACATCGAATAATCATTAGAAACTAGGTTGGAAGTGTTGAAAGTGATTTGGATAAGTATCGGGATATTCTTGAGCTTTTAGGTCGTTTTGGTAAGACATACATGCCACACGATCGTGTGACTGACTTAGTATAATTCCAACATGATCATTGTTAGTCGTTAGATGTATCTTTATTCATCTTTTTTTTTTTTGTCTATTTTTCTTTTGTTTTGCAAAGCATTTTTTTGCATATTTTACTGCAATTTTAGCAATAAATCGGACAACTTGTGCTTAACCATAGAATGTATATACTACTCATATTTTAATGTATTTTTCAAGGTAGTTGACGTGGAGCAGGATTTTAAAGATAGGTGGACGCAGATTAGAGCATTGAAGCATGACTAAAGCTGAAAAACACTTGAATAAGTTCGAAGCTAGAAGGAAGCAACTTGGAATGAAGATATGAAGACTGGAATGCACAAAAACCCTAAAACACGGGTTGTGTTAAACACAACACGACCGTGTTCCACCTTCAAGAATCTCTAGAATTATTTTTGGCATTTTTACATCAAAAGGACTTGGTAGTACAACACAATCGTCTTCCACTAGATACAAGTCGCGTTCCACTATTGAGGGGCAGATTTTCTGATTTTTTACATTTATAAGAGACCACAACACAGTAACACAACCGTGTTTCACAATTTTTGTCTCATAATAGCATTGGACTACATTTAACTTATTTGGGACACGTTTTCTCTGGAAACACATGTCATGTTCTTCGTAACACGACCGTGTTCCCCATCGAAGCATTATCTAGACATTGTTGACCCTATAAATACATCCCTTGACTCCATACGAAACCCTACTTGTTGTTGACGATTTTCTGGTGAATTCTTATGATTTCGATGATTTTTGAAGATATGAAGACTACGATTCAACTTGTTTATTTAGTTTCATAAGATTTATTTTCTAGATTTTAGACTTATATCTTTTGATTGGTTTTCAACTATATCCGGCTAAAAACTTTATATTCCATTTTCTCATAGACTACAACTTTTATGCAAGTAATCGTTAGATTTAGTTTTTTTTATCTATAATTATATCTAGTAGTAATCAGTTTGTGTTAATCAAGAGTTTAATTTATATTTGGTTCATGTTGGTCAATTGAATTATTG